GCTGTTCCGCTGCACTCCCCCAGTGCTTTGCCTCAGTGTGGCGGGATCAGATCGGGTGCAATTCCCACACTGTGTCTCTGGTGTTGTCCCCCGCAGGGCCATGGGTCAGTGAGACAATCATTTGTTTTAAAACATTTTTTTGTTTTGGTTTTTATTGTTGTTAGTGCTTAGGTTCTCTTTCCCAGTCGTTTTCAGAACGGGTGGCGAAAGAAAGGGTTTTGTCCTGCAAAGGGTGCTGAAGATTCCACTGCGGCAACTAACAAAACTGGGTTGTTAGACCTTTAAGACTATACAGAAACCAAGCACCTAAACAAGGTTGTAGCGCTGGGATGTAATGGTTACACATTGGGCTGCAATCTACCTGGTCGGCAAGTTCGAAACCACCAGCAGCTTTGCGGAAAAAGATGTGGTTACAGTCTTGGGAACCCACGGGGCTGGCTGTGAGTCAGCATTGACTGGATGGCAGTGCGTATGGATTTAGAAAGTAGCTAAGAGAGGCCCAAGGGAGTGGCTGGTTATTCAGAGAAAATATTTCTTGGTTACTGCTATTCATCAGAAAATATTAGCACTTCCTTTCTCTCTCTGTAAAGAAGAATGTGGTAGCACAGGAGAGGAAATCACAAGGCGGCTTAGAGGAAGTCAGCTGGCTGGGGGATGGGACTAAAAGCGAATATCCCTGCCTCCGTAATTGCACATGTTGGTCAGAAGCCCGATATTCACCTTTGTTTTTCTGCAGCGAGGTTTGACCATTTGTTTTTGTGTCACGCATTTTCTTCCTTTGTCCAGTTTTCCTTAATGTTGCAATTGTGGACAATAGACTTGTCTGTGTTACAGGTGAACATCATTCCCATCATTGCAAAAGCTGACACCATTGCCAAGAACGAATTGCACAAGTTCAAGAGTAAGATCATGAGTGAGCTCGTCAGCAATGGCGTCCAGATATACCAGTTCCCCACAGATGAAGAAACGGTGGCGGAGATTAATGCCACCATGAGTGTAAGTCCTGCAGCAGGAAGGCACCCACAGGGCGCGTCCTGATGCCTTTGCTTCGTAGCAGTATCGCCCAGTGGACACAGCACCGAGCAGACTAGGAAGCCGATGGTCCCTGCTCGCAGTCCAGCTCTGCTACTCACATGAGTTACTTACCCCCCTGCCCTCCAGTTTCCCCGTCCATTCCCAGTACATCCAGAGGAGACGCTCTCAGGTTTCCTGTGGGCCCTGACAGGATTTCCAGGAAAATCGTGGGGGGAGAATGCCTGCTGGGCGCACCATTCTGTGCTTTCTGCCTAGAGATTTGTTCCCCTGCTTCACTTTGCTTCCTTGGCTAGTGTCCACCTTTCCTGCTCTTTCTTGAATTAGGCCGAGTAGCCACTGAGAGTACAATCTGCACATCACAGAAAACAGGACACAGAGAAACGCTCAAAATGACAGCCGTTCTTGAAAATACTCCTGTGACCGTAATCTCTCCCGGTGAGCCCCGTCCTGCCAACCGAGACCTGAGTCTTTCCCCACTAGACCTTTTAATATCTGGCACAACTCGTTGTGTTTATATATTATTACTGCATCAGCTTGTTTGGTAGTTAGTTCATTAGTGACTGAGTGAGTGTGTAGCTTTTATAAA